AACACATCCTTAAGGCCTTCCCCTGTGAGGGTCGAGCACTCCAAGTACTTAACGGCGCCGATATCCTTAGTCATGGCCAGGACCTGGGGGTAAGTAATGGGTGTCTGTTTACGTTCCTTAAGCTTGTCTATTGTTTCGGGATTGTCCCGGAGGTCCAGTTTAGTGCCCACCAGTATAATGGGTTTGTCGGGACAGTGGTGTCGCACTTCCGGATACCATTTGATCCGTACGTTTTCAAAGGACGACGGGTTGTCTACCGAATAGCATATGAGAAAAACGTCGGTTTGCCGGTATAATAGGGGCCGCAGTCGGTCGTAGTCCTCCTGACCAATCGTATCCCAGAGGTCTAGATTAACGGACTCTCCGTCGACCATCACATTAGCGGAATAACAGTCAGAAATATAGGCCGTCCAACAGAGGTCGTCGAGGAGTCTGTCCGTCGTATAACACTTTAATAGACTTGTTTTACCCACACCTCTGAAAAAGGTGAAAGTGTGCAAATCAAAGTAGGGTATACTTTACTTTACAATATATCATAATAAATATGTATTAATTATAAAAATTTATGAATATATACCCGTTACCAACTACTACACACTTAATTGCTTGCATATCAATAACTTATTAATGTTTCAACGGTATGTGATATAAAAAAAGTTACAATAAGTTAGTCAAAAATGACTATACTTATAATATTTATAATACTCGCACATCATTAATAATTACAATATTTGAAAGCCTATTTATTTGACTCTAAAACACAACAGAAATAATTTCATTTGAATTGATATTCAATGAGATAATGACTACTAAACAATAAGTAGTCCTGAAATGTGCATTATAAAAATGTATTTGTTTTGCCAGAAAGTGTGGCACAAAACTACGCTCGCAATGCAATTGAATGAGAATCTCCAGGAAATCCCTTTTATGACTAATTCTTGTATATTAGTCATTAAACCGGTTCCCGACGACTACACACTTAATGCAATGCTTTTCAATGAATTATTAGTTTTATTGTAAGTATTATATGAATGAGTCGATTATGCAAACAGTGATTACATAAACTTGAATCAATGGGACTACCTTATTACTCCAATAATATTATTTAATGTAGTTAATAACATTCTCATATTAACTTGTCCATGTT